ATCGGGTTGGTTTTTTAAACAATGCCATGCTACATACACTTACCTGGAAGATGGTTTCTTGAATTCAAGCAATACTTAAGTCAACATTTTAAATATAATTCTTGTCAATTTAGTATCTACCTAACTTTTCTTTACGTCAAGAATCCGCGCTGAAACCTCAAAAAACATAATACAAGTGGTAAACGTGCACGAGCAGTAGACTAAGTATCAGGCGCGTCCTCGCCTCTTGTCTTTTTGAGCTATAAAATAACATTTAATCACTGCATTAAATTAACCTCCAACACAAGAAATACACACATTTCCTGTTCTTTGTTGTGGTTACTTCATTAGCCTTGTATCAAGCTGTAAGCGCCTCACGAATAAAATCCAAATATTCAGATGCGGAATGGTAAATAAATAAATAAATATATTCCCCATTCGCCATCTACTTCCTGGTGTTCATCAGAAAAGAGCTGCTAGCGGATAGCGATGTTTACGGTCGGATCTGACACCGGGCATCATATCGTTTGCGCGCTCACACAGATTTGTTTTTATGGTTTTACCGAGACGTGTAACCGAGAAGATGTTTTCACAATGACGGGACGATGCGATCAATGTCAGACCAGGTGAACACGCTCTTCTCGGTCAGATTACTATCCTGTTATCTCTATGCTGAGACGAGGCTATTAACATTGAATCCCAAAAGCTAGACTAATATTTGGTAAAAACAAAAGAGGATATCGCATTGTTCTCGTTTGAAAGTGTGTTCATTTTACTGTATTGTTGCTCATATCGTGGAAGATTTGAAGATCACTGATGGCGTCAAAATCTAGGGTCTCCATTCTGGATTACTTCAATATCGTCTGTGAGGGAGAAAATGGCAAAATTGAATCAAACTGCAAAGCTTGTGGCACAAGGATTCAGGCTAAACGGACAGTGACTTCCAACTTTGTTACACATTTAAAAGTAAGGGTTCTTTTTTTTTTTTTATGTAGCTGTTTCTTATCTAATAACATGACAAATGTGAGAGGTTTAAACCATCAATGCATGCCCTCAGGGTCATGGAAATTTGAAGACTAATATAAAGTCAGTTTATGATACACAAATGACTGGAAATATCACAGAAGTTCAATATCCAGAAAGTGCAAGAACCTTTAATATTCTGCTCTTTGTGTGTGTTTAGATATATGTTTACATGATTATGTGTATTGGGTTCTATATGTAATTCACCTGTATATAATTGTCACATTCACAGCGCAAACATCAGGCCATGTATGATGAGTTTGTGAGGAAGAAAGATGTGAAAAGGGAGGCAATGCAGACGTGTACTGGCCCTCCAAGTGGTCGAGTGATCTCTCAAAGTGGTGCTGGAATGAACAAGTTTGACTACGGTGACCCTCGCCAGTCCCTAATTTCAGAAGCCATCGCCAAGATGATCATCCGAGACCTGCAGCCGGCACAGATAGTGGAATATGAGGGTTTTCGTGAGCTTCTTCAGCTCCTGGAGCCCCGTTACATACCAGTACCATGCCATTATATACAACAGCAGCTCTTGCCAGCCTATGTCTCCCAAGTGCAACTAGCTGCCAAACAGGCTTTAAAAGGAGCCGAGTCCTGCAGTGTGACCCTTGACCTGTGGAGAAGCAGCTCTGTGGGTTATAACAGTGGTGCTGGGTTTCTTGGAGTGACTTGCTATTTCATTAACGCAGACTGGCACATCAGATCCGCTCTTTTGGCATGCTTATCTCTTCCAGACCACAGCAACACTCAGCAAATGCTCAGCGAGTTTGATGAGATCTCCGAGTCCCATGGTATGTCTGGCAAAGTGTTCAGAGTCGTTGCAGACTTGTCGCCCTGTGAAAACAGATCGGCTTTTCGTCTTCCTGGGTTCAGTCTCATTGGAAATGGTGAAGAAGATGAGGAAGATGGTAGCGATGAAGAGTCCAGTGCAGGGGAAGCCAAAGAAGCCATTAGTAGCAACGAGAACAACAAGTCTTTAGATCAGTGTCTTGGTCGAAGTAGGATAGACTGCTTTGCTCGATTACTAGCTCAGTGTGTTAAGGAAGGAGTTTGCGCTTCCCCTCAAATATCGGTTCCCCTAAACAAAGGAGCCCACCTGTATAACTACATAATTGCTACAGTGGCTCCTGAAAAACTTGTCCAAGTGTTCGGCTCCAGCACCTCAACAAATTGGCAAAGACCCTCATCCACAGACAAGTGGAACGCTCAGTTAAAAATATTACGGCAAATGGTAGAGTCAATGGATTTTCTTGAAGACATTGTAGATAGAAATGACCTAGTCCTCGGTAACTTAGAAAAAGCAGAGCTACGGGAGCTGGTTGAGGTGTTGGAGCCTTTTGAGGAGGCCTCAGACATGGTCCAAGGAGACAAGCACGTGTCCATCAGCCTAGCCCTGCCCTGTGTGCTAGGTCTGCGCAAGCATCTGGCTGAGGTCGTAACTCACCAGTGCTCTGGGATCGTGATGGGATTGTCTCAAGCTCTGGACCGCAGACTGGCAGGCATTCTTGAGGACCCTCTTTATGTAACAGCCACCACCCTGGACCCACAGTTCAAGCTGTCCTGGAGCAGTGACAGCGACTGGCACAAACAGGTGCTGCTGGAAGAGGTTCGAAAGCATACTCGGCCTTTGAGTCCACCAGAACATCACTCAGAGGCCCAGCCGTCACCGTCCAAACGCTGCAAGCTGTTCTCTTTCATTAAGCAGAGGCCGACCGCCCAGGCCAAGACTGTGGAGCAGGAACTGTCCACATATCTCCACGAAGAACCCACAGATGAGGATCCACTACAATACTGGAAACGCAAGTCCATCGATTTCCCCCTACTCTCACAAGTAGCCAAAAAAGTTTTTACCGTGCCAGCAACAACCACATCAGTGGACCAGATATTTAACCTGGTTAGCAAGATGCTCAGACCAGAGCAATGCCGACTTCTGCCAAAAAACCTGGACACTCTGATTTACTTGAAGGCTAACTATAGGATACTTTGGTCCTAACTGCAAAGAGAGCTTTTTCTTTGGATTTTCTTTGTAAAACGCAACAGGATCATGCAAGTGCAGTGCACACTGTACTTATACTTGATTAATTGTTAAGTATTTGCATAATAATTCTCCTTCACTATCCGCATGACATAGAACCCCAGAAAACACACTATTCTTGTAGCCAAATGCTTTCTCAGAACACCTTTAAGAAAAAGAATAGTACATTTCCAGCTAAATTGAACGTTGTTATTAAACATTTGGTGTATAATAGTTAGCTTTATATTAATCTAAGGAAAGAACTGGTCAAATAGAGTTACTGTGTGGCTGACAGGCTTTTTGTGTGGGTTCTTTGTGTACAAAACCCACAGGGTAGAAAGCTGCAGGCAGGTTCTGTAATTGAAAATAATTACATTTCAGGCCTATGGGGAATCGGAGAACGCTGATGGTGGACTGCAGTCTCTCGCTTGCAGGGCTGAACCGAGAGCAATCAAGCCTGTGGGATATTAAGAAGAGTTGTTGTGCATTAAGGACCTTTTGTTGTGAAAAAGACATTTCCATTTAAGTAAAAGTGTTTGTTATCAAACCTGACATTTTGTCCTGTCATAACTGCTGGGTCAAACAATAATATGCCAAAGGTTAAGCAATTTCAAGGTCTTTATAGCACAATCACTGATGTCAGTGTGTGCATTTACATTTACAGCACACTTGTGCATCACAACAGAGTTTATGCGTGCTTGTATTCTGATCATGTGGAGAAGAAAATAGCAAAAGGACATTCAATCAATAAACTCAATTTCAAACAGATTTATGTGTAACGCGGGGCAGCACTGCTGCAGTGCAGATATAATGAACATTCGTGAGTGTGTGTATGTGGGATGTGAATCCTGATTTCAGTTTCCCACTCAGTCTCAGTGGGGCTACAGTATCATATTCTGGGTAACATTGTACTGGCAATTGCATTTTCTATTTCTGCACACGTAATTTGCAACGTCTGCCAAATTTTAAATGGAAAAGTCCATTTGACATTTCATTTTCAACATGCATGCAGGAATGGCCCAACCATATTGAAACAGCAATAGCAGTGGCTCTTACTGCAATTTAATTTCCTCATTAACTTTACATGAGTGTACTGCATTGTATGCAGATAAAGTTGGATATATTATCCAACTTTAGATAGATAGATAGATGGATAGATATATAGATAATACAGTTTCAACACAGTTACATTTTGAGACAATATAATAAACGATCAAACAGCTCAGATTGTCAGATATGGGACTGCTACTACTCTTATTATTTGTGCAGTATAAATGATAAATTATTTTATATATTACCAGTATATTTTCCTTAAATTTCTATTGTGATGGATTAACCAGAATATCAGCCAAAATATGGTAACTCAACATGCCTACTTGATGAGACAATAAATACAGATTTTTTTTTATGATGGAATAACACCTTCTATTTCACATACTATTTTTATAAATAGTAGGCAATACACAGTATATACCACCCAGTAAGCTAGTATCCTGAACATTGCCAAAACCTTTGGACCTTCCCTGGTTTCCCAGCTGGCAGAGATTCAAGAATGTGTAAAAAAAAAATCTGGCAGGGAATTAGTAACACCGTACTAATGACTCGAATGGGTAGAGTGGGGGCATCAGCACTCTGTACAGAAATCTAACCTTAAAATACACCGCTTTTCACATCTGCGATTGTTATCTTCTTCAGAGTGATCAGTTCCGCCATCACAACATCTTAAAGGTGGGGTACTGATTCGGGCCGACTAGCAAAAACTTGTAGCCAATCAGCAGAAAGGGGCGTGTCTACTCATGATATGGAGGAGAGAGTTCAGTGCACAGGACGGACATTAGCGAGCCGAGCGACAGAAAGATATAGATGGCGGATAAAAAACAAAAGAGGAACAAAAGAAGGCTTAAAGCAATAAAGCACGTAGTAGGACCCGTGTAAATATCGGATCAGCTTTCCAGCGCTGGAGAGATAGGGGCGTGTTTGTTTTGGTGATTTAAAATGTCAACATTGGCTACAAGAAATCACTTACCCCACCTTTAAGTGTCTGTAAACGGTAACAACACAGTTTGCTCATGGGTCAGGGAGTGCAAAAATTCAATTCTTCAGGGACTGGCCAGTGCCATGTTGACCTTTAGACCACCTTGATCTGAGGGTAGTAAAGGCCTAAACTGAACTATGGCATTCACTATGTGAAGAGACTGAGTCATTCTCAACTCTCTGCCAAACTACAGTTATTAATAAACTGCCTGTTGTTGGTGTGTGAACAGCAATAATATCCTGATCAAAAAGGGGAGGGAAATACCTGATAAATCTGGGTTATATGCCATTAAGTGTCAGTGCTCATTACACATTTGAAATTGAGCAAGAGGAAAACGGCTACTTGATGCACCAGTTGAAAAAAATGGGGCGGTGACGTGTTTAAACAATGAACGTATAAAATTCCACCCCCCATTATATTTTGGCCTTTTTTTAGCATGGAAACAAGAGAGCAGCTGCCCTTCAGTCTCTCTCCCTCTCTGAGCAGCTCCTGTTTGTCACAGTGAGTTATCTTTATCTTCATCTTTAACTCTCAGACTTAGGAACATATTCAGGCTGTCATCTCTCTGACTCACAAACTAAATCAACAGCACCCTTCACATGCTCACAGCTAGCAGACTCATTTCATCGCACAGCTAAGTCATGGCGGACAGAAAGGACAGTAAGATCCCCAGTAAAGGCGGCCTGATAAAGAAGAAAGAAAAGAAAGTGGAGAAAGTAGAGAGTAAACCTGAAAAGGAGAAAGAAAAGAACAAAGATAAAAGTGAAAAGGTGACAAAGAAGCCAGAGAAGACCCCAGAAAATCAGCAAAAAAATGAGGATACACCTCAAGGAAATGGGGAAGTAGCAGAAGGTGCCAAAGGCCCTGTCAAAGATGAGGAGTTTGAGCTGGAGCCAATGGAGCTGCCTCCATTCGAGATCATTATAGGGTATGTCAGACATCTTTCATTATCTCTCATCACAAACTGGATCCACAGTAATATTTCTATCACTCAGTAAGAACAGTGGCACACTCTCAGGAAAAAAAAGTATCTATAGGGATACAACAGTTTGTCACTGGCTCAACAGCCTTAAAGTGACAACTTTGTGTCTTATTTTCCCCTTAAACAGTTCATAATTGTAACTTAAGGGTACATATTACCAAAAGAAATTAATAGGCACCTTTTAGGGGTAGAGGCACAAATCTGTCCCTTTGAGGGTACTGACAAGCTGCTGTATCCTTAAAGGTAAATTTTTTGCTAATTTATTTCTGACAGTGTCTCTTCAAAATGCAAAACAGCATGGCATATTGCATGACACCACAACCTAATTTAAGATGACTTTGCCACTTGTTTGACTTTGACTTTGAGTGTTTGGGTTGGTCGGACCAACTTTGACAAAAGTTACATCTGAAATTCCAACATGTTGGGTAGGAACATTATAAATTTGAACAATCCAGGTCATTGCTTTGAACCCCAGTGCTTTTAGGAAGTTGGGACTTTTCTGTAGGCTACTCAGTATACTATTTATGTCTTTATAAATTTTCTTGTCTCTGCCATGGTGTAGTATCCCGAAACCATGAAGTTGCAGGCACTTCATGACCAAAAGTATGTAGGCACCACCTTCTAATTGACCAGTTTGACTATTTCAGCTACACCCACAGTAACAGTTGCATAAAATCTGAACCAAAGAGCTCATTGACTTTCAACTGGGTACATCACTAAGTAAGGTCCATAAGGTTTGATTGACCTGCACAAACCCAGACCTGAAACACCATTGGGATGAATTGGTCTTGTTTAAATAGGAGCAAATCTCTAACCCTAACCCTTACCCAACCATGATTCAAATTCTAGCAGACAACACTCCCAGAAATGTGGAAGCTGTTAGAGCAGACTAATTCCCTATTAATATCTGGTTTTGAAATTGTTCAACCAGCACATATGGGTGTGGTGTTCAGGTGGCCATTTACTTTAAGCCCGTACTTTAAGTCATTCATTTTACCATTCAATGGGTTCTTCTTTCAAACAAAATAATACTCTAGAGAAACTCACCCGAGATTTTATAAGAATTTATTTCAACAAAGTGATCAATACAAGAGCATTAAGTCCTTTTGAGTCACTGCCTATTAGTGCCCACTCAAACAGAAGCACTTCTTGTCCAATGTTAATGCATTCAGTTGTTTTGAAGCTGGAATACACCACACAACTTTGACGACTAGTATTTTAAAATCTGTTCTAATTTTCAGTAATGAAGTCATGTAGTGTATTCCAGCTTTTACTTTAATCTAAGCCACACTTTCTCACAATAGGTTGTGAAAATAGTCTTATTTCCAAATTTCCTCCTTCTTCCCACAGAGACAGAATGAACCCGAACTTCTTTAAGTTCCAATTTAAAAATGTGGAATATTCCTCCGGGCGCAACAAGACCTTCCTGTGCTACCAGGTAGACATTCAAGGAGGTGCTGCAGACACAGAAGGCCTTCGCGGTTACCTAGAAGATGAGCATTCGGGTTCACATGCTGAAGAGGCCTTCTTTCAACAGGTGCTGGCCTATTATGACAAGTCACTCCACTACACAGTGACCTGGTACATGTCCTCGAGCCCATGCGCAGCCTGCGCTGCTAAGCTCGTAGAGATCTTGCGAGCACGCAAGACAATGCGCCTTAATATCCACTGCTCCCGTCTCTTCCAGTGGGAGGAAGCAGAGATACAGGCCGGACTTCAGGAGCTAGTTGGGGCGGGGTGTAAAATACGCATGATGAGGCCTGTGGATTTTGCGTATGTTTGGTCTACGTTCGTTGAGAACGAGGAAGATAACTTTACACCCTGGGAGGACTGTCAAGATAACTATGATTATTATGATGAGAGGTTGTGTGATATTTTAAAGTAGGGTAAGGAGCCGCAGCTGGCCTCTGATTAAGACTGTTAAAAACAGCCTGGGCACCGCCTTTAAGCAAATTTAGTACTTAAAAGCTAATTATTACAATGTCCCTGTAATTACAACAGCATTGTTTTCTCAACACTATTCGTCCTGCAAAATCACTTTGTTGACTTTATTGATTTTAAACTTACATAATGAATTCAAACCACAAAAAAATTTATAGGTAATACTTCTATTTTACTAAGTATCATTTAAAAAAAAAATGTAGAAGCTAAACATCTGGGTGCAAAATTCAAGCATTAAATTCCAGTTAACTAAGCAAATTCTTTTGCTAAATAAAATATAGTTTGCTTCGCTCTAGCCTCTAAGCATTATGTTTAAATATTCTAATTTGTATAATAATGTTTTTTTTTTTTTATTATTTTATTTTTAATTATTTTGAAATTAAATGAATTTTGGCATAGTGAACAGTCTCCCTGTATGTAAAACAATAAACACGAGTCAATTAGCACAATTGCACAATTAGCACAACTTAAAGACAGCAGTATGACGGTGTGACACTTTTCGATGATATTTATATGCACTTATGCAGTGGATCAAAACTGTGTTCCTGGAGTCCCCCCTAAACTGCACATTTTCGCTGTGTCTCATTTCAAAGGCTGCACCCTCCAGAGGTCGCATTTGTCGGCCTTATCTGTCGACCATTATATTCTAAAGACAGAAATGACTAATTATGCCTCGTGAGGACTAACAGTGAATTTTATAATGGTTGCTTTTCTGAAATGAGAGAGGTTCTGTGACGTATGAGGCTGACTAATGCAACCTTTGGAGGGTGCTGCTTTGGAAATGAGACACAGCTTTTAAACGTCTCCAGGAACACAGCTGAGAACCAATGTACTGAAGAAAAAAATTGGAAAATAAGGATATCAGAATAATAGTGGAATTATTATTTATGGGACATTTATAGTGCATTAATATTAGAGGTACATTTAATATAGTGATAATTACTGGAAAAATATGAACTGTAAAGCATAATTTATCAAACAATCCAATGACCCTCTAGTGGTGAAAAGAACATCCATACAATTTAGAGATGCAACAGGAGGGTGGAAGAACAATGGAATCGAACCCCTACATATTCTTAGTGTATATAACTGGAACAGTCCTAGGAGCTTATGTTTCCCAGAACAAGACTACTGAACACCCTACACACCATACAGTACACTGTGAAATTCCATTGGAAAAAAGGCCACCCTACAACCATTCTTCAAGAACGGCTAAGAAATAATGTGAGCTTCAGACCTGCTGTGGTCTAGATTGTGTACACAGTGATGGAGATTTTTGTGTCCTGGAAGACTTCTGTGATAATGGAAGACACATTTTCCCATTTCAGTTTATCCAGACCACAGCCAATCCTTGCCAGAGAAAATGACATCAGTTATTGCAGTCTATTCAGCAGAATGATCAAATCAATTCAAAAGTAAAGTTACCCTAATTCTTTCCAAGTATTTAAAAATGCAATTATCAAGCTATATTTGAGTTTTGACAACTGCAAAATTATTCTTATTGTCATTTTCAAGCCATTTAGCTAGAATCATATTCAAAACAAGCAAATCTAAAATCAGTATCTGCATTTAAATTAAACACAATGTCAGTTTACCGAGGCATGGATATACTGTTAACGCCATTGGCCAAGCAGTGTTCCCTCATAGACACGAGGCCCTTTCTGAGATTGTCATAGGTGGGTTTTTGGTTGTACTTTTTCTTTGTGACCTGGTTCAGGAAAAAAGTGGAAAAGGTAAGTTTTTCTTAACAAGAAAGCTGTAAGCCAGGACAACTCTACTTTTATCTGAATTTATTTAGTAAAACATACAACAGATGTGAACTAAACACTACAGGCCATCTTACCAGGTAGTACACAAAACGGTCAGATATTCTAAGGGCAGCACACTGCCCAGGTTGCTTCTCTGCACAAAACAGAAGACAACAAAGAGAACTGAGAATCAGTTGGGTGTAATTTGAGTGTCACTTCTCTGTTATGATAATTCTCACTCACTCTGTGCCAGAAGCTCATCTACTCCACCAAATGTCTTCTTGAATTGCACAGCGATCCCTGCTCCCATGCGGCAGTCTTCACTGATGCAGTGCGCCAGGGCATCGGTGGGAGGACAGGTGAACAAATCTCCTCTCTTGTGCAGCAGCCGCCATCCTGATCTGCACGCGAGCTGCAATAAATGAGCAAGAACACAAACCCAATCAAAACAAGACAATGCCAACAACCAACACTCTACTTACATTTTTTTTATTATTATTATTTAATCAGGCTGAATAGCTTTTTGAATTTTTTTTGCTAGGGAAGTCTTTGGCTCTGTGCCAGAAGCTCATCTACTCCACCAAATGTCTTCTTGAATTGCACAGCGATCCCTGCTCCCATGCGGCAGTCTTCACTGATGCAGTGCGCCAGGGCATCGGTGGGAGGACAGGTGAACAAATCTCCTCTCTTGTGCAGCAGCCGCCATCCTGATCTGCACGCGAGCTGCAATAAATGAGCAAGAACACAAACCCAATCAAAACAAGACAATGCCAACAACCAACACTCTACTTACATTTTTTTATTATTATTATTTAATCAGGCTGAATAGCTTTTTGAATTTTTTTGCTAGGGAAGTCTTTGGTCAATCTTTACACACATTCGAAAAGTAAAAGAGCATGTTTTTTCAAAGTAATGTTACTCAAATGAAGACATACTTACTTTTGCCATACCTTCATCCACACGATTTTGTTCTTCAGATTCCTTTGAGATTTGAGCAGGGACTTGACTGGAATTATTTTCTGTATGGACACATTTTTATCTTGACTACAAAAAGCTATTGAACATTTCCAGTGTTACTGTCCAGGAGAAATATACAGGTCATTTAACACACACGATGGGACATGTTGTCACACAATATGGGGTAGTCACGATTTTAAATTTATTCTGACTCGAGAAGAATACACGAATATTGAAATATATAAATAGCCTAATATGCAAAATGTAACAGTCATCTTCCACAAATTATCTGTAAATGTGTTACAGGATAACAGTCAAACGCAAAAAAACAGCAAAAAAACCCAAACAAACAAAAAAAAGTTTTGGTCAATATTACAATATAACCAACCCCGTGACAACACAAAATTTACAAAGAAATACTGTCCTGAAACCTGCCAAGCCTGTTAAAATCTACCTTCATGATTCAGCTGTGCTCTTTATTTAAAATCATATATATACAGAAGTATGGTGACAACGTTCCAATTTGACAACTAGCTACATTCCCCCTGTATAATCTATAATGATAATGTTTAAGTAAATTACGAATTAATTAAGTTAAATGGAGAAAAACTAAGGTGTGTTTAACTTTACGTTTAAGTTCTTTACCAACAGCCACTGGTTAGATACGTCGAGTTCTGGCTAGAGCTGCTGGACTGAAAACTTACCACAACAATGAACCTGATGTGTGTTTTACTTCCCTTTAAACGTTGATATAGTTCTACTCACTCATTGTAAATAAAGAAGCAGGGAAAAAAAACTAACAACACGAGGTTTCTCTTTTGCTTTGAGTGCAGGTTCCAATTCATGCTAATGATAGGCTTCAGTGCCATCTAGCGTCAGGGAGCAAACTTTATAAATCCACTGAGAGACATTGAAGGCAGTTAAACGCTGATAAAAGGGAATGAAAGGTTACATTTAAATAATATTAAATATATATATATTTACACGCCAAACAAGCTTCTATAACGTATGCATTTGTTTGTTTATTATTTTAAACAGTCTCACATCAGCATTTAATGGTTATTCTACAATTGCTACTATTTGGAAAAAATTATGATGATCATAATAATAATACAGTTTGTAACATCAGAGTCTTTAACATAGCATGAACATTTTAATTAATTAAATATTCATATTTAAAATAGTTGATTAAAATATTTATAATAAGATATTATGTTTCTGTAGCACCATTGATTTAAAAAAGTGACAATTGTATAATAATTAATAAATAGTGACAACTGCTGACATCCTGAGACTAATAATTATTAGCAAATGATATAACATTATGATGATGTTAATTTAATCATAAGACGGCTTGAATAAAATAGTCCGAAACAATATCGTAATATTCTGCTATGGAGATATTTTGGGGTTTTGTTACCCTGCTCAGTAATAATTATGATAAACAAAATAAAAGTAATCATAAACGTATTCCTATTATTATTAATTACATTTAATACAACTGCCAAAACAAAACCACACTTACAATTTTTTCCAAACACAAGCGTGACCTTGTAATAAATGAAAATATATATATATAAATTCATTAATAGTACATGAAATTTATAATTGATGAGTTTTTATTTTTGAGAAATTTACAAATGCAAATACTTTTACAATTGTGACCTTCCGAAGACTTCATTCTTTACAATATTCATGTATTTACAAACATGAGACATGCCAATTTGAAATTGATCGGTTGTTTATAAATTGAGTAATATGCTACATACAGTAAACTCAGATGCACCTCATCTGCAGAATAATAATGATAGAAAGTCAGAAATCCAGTCAGTCATGAAAGTGAGCCTTTCACAAATCCCAACAACAAGAATGAAAGAAACAATAAAGAAAACATGAATATTTACATGTAGATAGAATAAATTCTGTTTGTCAAAAAAGAAATGGGAGTTACACCACTACATTAAAAAAAGTGCTGATGGCTTAAATTCACTCGAACGAACCACGACTAAGATCACATAATTCAGTGGAGAATTAATAGAAATTATATTAAGAACATGTGAGAATAAATCTGTTCTCGGATACCAAAGATAACAAGAACTCGGCATCCACTCTCTTCTCTCTCGGAATCGCTCAGAACGGAATACTCTTCTTCGGTGTTTGTATACACTGGTTTTCGAAACAGCGCCACCCCTCTTTGCCTTTTTGTGCAACAGCAGCTGCTCCACGCACGTGATCTAAGCTCAAATCTGATTGGACAGCCCGTTTCATCGCGGAGCGACGGGGAAAAAATCGACACACAAGACGAAAAAAAAATCGCGCCTGGTGTGAATAGCCCCATAGGGATCTATTGTTTCGATTCAAAAGCGTCATCGCGCCGAATTTTCGCGTTCAGTGTGAAAAGTCCTTAAGAGCATCAAAATGGCATATATTATATGAATTTGGGATAAAATTAACATTATTTTAGAACTGAGACTTTGTTTCTTATCAGTATAACAATAGCACAAAGCTCTTTGTGATTATTGCATGGGAGGCACGTTATAAATAATGTTTGGTGAAGGGAAGAACCACGGACCTGGCAACCTTGGCTTGGACTACGGGTGATTCATACGGTCAAATAGAACCTGCATTAACTGAGCTATTTTTTTTAAGAGTTTGCGTTATCATTGCATTAACTTCAACAGCTATAAATTTACACAAGGGGCATTTTCTTCACACATAAGTTGCATTCAGACTTATTTTTCCACCCCTTTAGATTGACAGGATATAATTGGCCCTGATCATCAGCTTTTTTAAACACTTAGCCGATGACCGATAGTGAACTTAATTTTAAAACTGAGCTTTTATTGACCAATACCGATTATTGGCTCATATATCGGTGCATCCCTATTTATAACCTTTTTGGATCTTTTACATTTGGTTTACCTGGACTTTCTTAGGTTTCATTGAAATAACTTTATTTCGCAGTTAATTGCTTTTATCAACCGATACATATTGCTGATTATTGGCCGATATATCAGTTCATCCCTATTTATAACCTTTTTGGATCTTTTACATTTTGATTAACTAGACTTTCCCAGGTTTCATTAAAAATACCTTAATTTCGAAGATTAACTAAAGTCTTATGAGTTTGGAATGACATGATGGTGTGTAAATGATGACAATTAGCATTTTTGGGAGAACTATCCCTTTAAGTAAGCAGTTCTCACTTCAAAAGTCTGGCATTGAATTCATCAAGAGCCTGTAGTGTGTGTGTTGGCATCAGCGTTAAATGTTCTCTCTCAGCGAATACGACCTGTGTACTGACGTCAGTCGTGCCGAATCACAGCTCTCACTGCGGCACACATCTGTAACCATATCCCTCGCAGTGCGTGGGGATGGATGTGTGTGGAAGTTTCAGCGGGCTAAAAATGTCCCCACTCTCTCCCGGGTCCTGGCACAGCATGCCTGTGTGTGTGTGTTACACGGCTGAATGGCGTTAGTTCATTGAGCTGGGCGTAACATTTCCGTCACATGCTTGAGGTATTCGGCCAATCACAACGCACTGGATAGCTGGCCAGTCAGAGCACACCTCGCTTTTCAGACCTATGAGCTTTGTAAAAATCGACGCGTTTCAAAAAGGCGGGGCATAGAGGAGAAACAATAATGTACAGTATGTGGAAAATAATGTGTTTTTTTAACTTTAAACTGCATAAACACATTTCATTACACCAAATACACAAAATAATGTTCTTTTTAGCAACATCATATGACCCCTTTAAGACTGTACTTGAGAAACTATGCATGCTCTGTATTGGTTGGTTAAGGGGTAGGCTTATGTTAAGGGTTGTTTTGGTGAATATGGAGTTCAGAAGTTGTCGCTGCGGCGTCTCTGTTCATTGATCCAGTCCCCGGGGTTCACGTCCATTTGCAGCATCTTCATGACCCACTTGTCACGTCGTGCCCCGTCAATGAACTCATCCAGAGACAACTCCCCTGAGGACACAGCAAAGAAACCCAGCATCAGCTGCTTTTTCAAGAAAGCCTTTGAGCAGAAAGCTAGAATTTTTCTACAGTTTGATTAATTATTAACATCAGTGAACTTAAATAAACGCAGGCTATATTAATTATAATAAAGGCAAAGACTAAAGTTTGGCTTAACCATTTAATAATTGTAGAAAAATAATGAATCATAGTAAGTTTTACCATCTCCATTCTCATCCACTAGCTCAAATATTCGGTCCACCACCTGATCTGGGGTCAGTAGGTTACACTCTTCATCAAGTTCACCATGGCAGGCTTTCTTTAGTCGGTAGATTGACTGTAAAAGTAAAGTAAAGGTGTTCATTTCTTTCTTAACGTCTTCTTTATAGTGGTATTACAAAGTATAACAGCATCTCTGCACACAAATGTTTGCTGTCAGAGAGGTCATATGGATTAATCCCCTGTAAACATCTCACTAGTAAGTTTCAATGTCAAGGTGAAAGTTACGAAACAAGTTATGAAATTGTAATCTCAGTACCAGAGCACACAGAATTATGTTTTTCATCCTTTTTTTTCTTTAGTAATCTAGTAAACCACTGAAGTATTATAATCCCAGTCGATGTATAAGTCCGTCTGACTGTGTTGACAATGGGAAGGACATGAGAAATGATTACCTCCACAATCTCCTTGAGCTCTGTTTTGTCGATGCAGCCGCTCCCATCTTTGTCATACATTTTAAAAGTCCATTTCAGTTTGTGCTCCAACTTTCCTCGCAGCACTAGATTCAAGGCTGCAACGTATTCCAGAAAATCAATAGTGTTGTCCTATGAATAAAAAATATTGAAAGGAAGGTAAAGATTTTATCAAAAGCACGAAACATGTTTTCTATATAAGCGGCCGCTTCTGGGTTTCCAGTTACACCAAAGAAGCTCTTGAACTCATGCATGAAGAGGGTTCCGCTCGGACATTCAACCACAAACTTTTTATACCACTCCTGCAGTTCAGCAACATCAATCTCTTTATCGTCCGAATCGTCACTGAGTCGCTGACCCATTGCGAATGATGACAATAAAGATCACAAGCTCTGCTTCTCAACAAAAAATGTCCATTATCACATCTGGCAGCTTCACTGTCCTGACATTCTCCCTGATCCAGACATCCCAATAAACCTTTAAGCTCCACAAACCGATGATACAACACCAAAAATGTCTGATTTACGAGACAAACATGTATCCCTTTAAAAAAAGTAGAAAAAAAACTCAAGTTAAAATTTTCAGTTCGTACCAAAGTGTAAAACTAACCTCAACCCTTCAGCAAAGGTGCTCTACTGGCTTGGGATTCAGTACAAGGACTGTTTTGGATCACATGACTGCAAGGGATTATTCATATCAATCCATGTCTGAATCAATTAGCTTGAAACAAGATCAAGAGCTTTGCAATAATTCATCATTTAGTACACAGAGCGTTCCATTCCTCAATTCAGGTTCAAGGGCTCCCTGAGGGTCTCATGTCAGAACATTAACCATGACCTGATTATTTTTACCTGTTAAATTTAAAATAATCTTTTGAAGGCCAAGTTGAAGGCCACAAATTCCACAAAAAATCTTCTATTTTATTACTGAAAACAAAAAATCACTCAAACATGGATCAGTGAAAATACATTTGGATAGTATTTACTTCTATACACTATAACATAGCACTTTACCTTTGAGAAACCGAGAAAAAAAATCATCATGGACACCTTCCCCCAGGTGTAAAATCTGTTTTTCAAAGTTGTAAATAAAACAAAAATTATTAGAGCACATTTTACAAGAAAATACTATTTCAGTCTTTTTACTTCAAAATTTCACATTTAATTCAATGTGTTACTTGCCATTTCTTTGTAACTATTTGTGAAACTTAC